TTTATTTTCGACTTGCTTTCCTCGACGCCTTTCAACAACTGATGAAGGATTCAAAGTTTGGATCAGCCTTTTGGCTGAATCTTCATTGACCAGTGAGTCGCAATTTCGAGCCCTGCTGGCCCTCACCAACCTTTGGGAAGTGGTGATCAAAATAAAACTGTGTGAGCTTTGTGATGTTTTCACACAAAATCAAGGCAGGTGTCAGAGACTCTTCTTCAAGGACAGCACCGGCCTGCACTTTGCTATCTATCTTTAACCCAAAAGAAAAAATGAATGGGAAAAGACTGCATGAACTGGACCAGGACATTGAAGTAATTACTGGTATATATAGGTAACTTAGACAAAAAATCAAGGTTATGTAAAGTTTGTACAGACATGATGCTTTTTGGCCTTACTTGTCATTCTATCTAGTTAAATCACATATAAAAGCACCAGTTTATTACAGTTTCTTCACCCAGAACAAACGTCCACAGATTAGAATACCATAAACCCCTGAATTAACGCATCCTTTGAATAACAACCCCTCCTATCGGCAAAAATTTAAAATAACCATCCCTCTCAAATAAGTGTCCCCCTCCCCTTCCCCCATTTTGTGGATGAGTAATGAGACGCCAAAGGATGTATAGTTTTTGCCGTGTAGTATTAGATTTGTACACTGTTTCAATTTGTGAACACATTAAGTTTGGGAAAAAAATTGCAAGCACCAATGGTGCCGTGATTTGAACTTTAGAATAAGCTTCTTATGCCTTTTAACAGCTTATGTTGTTGTTTATGTGCAGATGATGAATAAAAAATGATCATTTCAGGCCACTATTTTTAACAATTAAATAAGTGCCCCTTCACATAAGCGCCCCCGTCTTCTACTAAATTTGAAATAAGCGCCCCGGGCGTCCCTGTGCTTACGGTAGCCAACTGGCTTCTCCTAGGTGTGAACATTTCGGCTACTCATGGGGTCCCCCTAGCCGCGAACATTTCGGCTTCTCAGTCCATACTGCGATTTTCAGAGGTTGCGAAATTCTGAATTGAGTAGTATACCATGACAGGCTAGTGTGTATATCGAGAACATACTCCTGACAAGTGGGATATTTCATGATATACCACGAGAGAACATTGCATAACTATCTTATACCATGCCATAGAAAATACAGTGGCCAACACAATCAATACGACATACGCGCGGTGCTTTATGGGAAGGTCGTATGTATATACCGTCGAATATACAAGGGCTTTCCTGTATTCTGATTGGCTCTATTATCTATGGCGTGGTATAAATAATGAAATTGTATTTGTAGAAATTAAAAGTAGTGTGACATCCACCCTGAAAGGAATGAGAAAGAAACAAAACGCGAAGGTCTGTAAACGACTCTCCCTGCCGAAGAGGTCACGTGGACTGTTTGTAATATTCTAGAGCCAATAAACCAGCCAACTCAACTCTATTTTAATTCAAGCGACTGACAACGTGTTTCATCCAACTGAACTACTGGAAAACTACTGGAGGAGCGGTTACACAGCTCACAACATTCTACACTCCCCCACTAAGCCATGAAAACTAGTACAATAAATCAACGACAAAACTTAGCCGCAGTTCTTAAGTGTCTCTGTCCTAATAACCTAAAAAGTCACTTAGTAACAAAATCAGCCAAGTATCGAGGGGCGTGTCTGCTCCTAGTAGGGTAACACTTCTCTGGAATGCCTTGGGTAGTTGATTGCACAGGAACAGCTGGCTCCCTTGGGGTTTCTTCCCACTGC